CAGACCTTTTCAAACTAATTATACTGACCAGGAAGTGCTACAGCAGCTGGAGACAAAGCACCAGTTCACATTCAGAGGTCCAGTCTTTACATACCAGGTTCAATGGACCTAGTTGAACTGGCTGTTGCCTATTGGCAGATATGAAACTTCTTGTACACTCAGACTTTAAAGTATTCTGTATGTTATATTTCCACATTTTGGCCTACAGTACACTGAAGACAAAGTGAGGTAACTGAGCCCATAAAGAGCTGGGGGTGGGTCAGGGAGCTGTGTGAAATCAAAGGACTACAAAACAGGCCTCAACAATTAAGCATGGATGAGGCTATCAAAGAGTGTAAACCACAGATTCCCATTACTGTGTGACATTAGCCCACTGAACACAATAACCCTTAATGATCCCATGTGCCTGCAGCACACTGCCCTTTAATGACGTCCTGGCTGAATGACCATTGTTTCCTGGAAGCGACATACTGTACTACCAGGGGAAAGAGAAGCACAACTCCACATGTGCCTGTCCTTTGCACTGCAAAATGGAGCTTTGTTTGTTTTTTAGCACTACTAGAAATAAGTCTGAGATCGAGTGGATGGGTGAAACGCAGAGTAGCATTTAAAAAAACAACAAATTAGTCCCTGTTTATGTACAGATCAGACTATTTATGCAGATAGGGTGATCATACAGGGTTGGATCAATTAAGGGAGATTTGAACAGACTGAAACTTCACAGTGTGCTAATTAGGCAGCCAGCCATTATGCTCAATAAATGGAAATGTATTCCTTTCCATTCCGGTCCCTCTGTCTGTTTGTGTGCCTCGCGTCACCCCAAGGAGTTTTAACAGAACACTAATTCTTCATCTAATTTCCCCAAACTCCCCGTTGCTTTCGCTGACTATGTCTCTCTGCCTCTCCATCCTTCTTCTCATGCTGATAACTTGTCCCACAGAATCGCCGCAGTTGTCAGTAATCAAGGAAATCATTCTCAGAGAGCTACAAATAGGTCACTTAACTGATGTCTGGTCTGAGCTGATGCAGACAGACAGCCAGTTAAGTCCTTTGCATCCACTTCTGCTATTTTTAGTGTGATTAGTAGCCATTCTACTGTATCTGCCTCTCTACTGGTGTAAGAGAGAGTGCAAGGGAGTGATAGACACAAAGATAGAGAAGGAGAGAGAGGAGGTAGATATGCTGTAGCACAAAGATGGAGAAGGAGAGAGAGGACGTAGATATGCTGTAGCTTTCATCATTAGCATTCAGTTCAAATGGCTCAATTGAGCATTTGTTACTCATGGGATTCCCAGGACCTGAGAAGCTGTGCTTCTTCATTTATTCAATTTATTGATATAAAGCCTCTTCATTAAGAGACACTGGTGAATGTAACATCTGGTGGCTTTGATGTGGAATTATAAGCAGGCACTGAAGCAGAGGTTGCATGACCTGTAAGAGCTTCTTTGTCTCCTCTTGGGGCTGATAAACCAGTGTGCCAGCACTGTCAACTATACTATACACGTCTCCTTTGAAGTTCCAGTGAGGAGACCGATCACATGCAAACACGCACACACTCATGCCCCTAACTGTGCACACGTCCAGATGCAGAAGCAGAGAGCGATGGCAGGTGGAAATTTTATATATGTTTCCCACATGACGGCCTCGTGAATTATTGAACTGAGCCGGTCCTTTTGATCCATGTTTTGGTGTGCACGCAGAGTTTCCTACCTGTCCAACATTCACTACACACATATACATGACTACAAGCTGCCGCTTGTAGAGTGATCTATGTGTTTGTTTTTTGTTTGTTTGTTTGTTTGTTTTGTTTTTTTACATTCCTGCGGTTTGAGTAGAGGGGCCTCTTCGCGGTCTGCCTCAAAGCTTTTCTTGTTGTTTTGCAGAGTAAGGATATGTGAGGCACATTGTCACTGCTTACATGCCTCGTCCCTCTGGTCCACTCTACCCGTTATCCAAACACATGACACTGATGATGATGATGATGTCACCCTGCTTGACTGGCAGATGGCGGGCACTGTGGATAATACATGCAATTAGTCTTACAGTATCATTCTCATGCTACGGTGCTTACATGTGCGCCAGGTAGAACAGCCTGAGTGCATGGATGAATATGAGCTATACAATACATTATACTTGAACATGCAGGGTCAACATAGGAATCCTGTGTGAAGTACACTCCGGAAATGAAAATTGCAGTATGAAAGCAGCAGCAGAGTGCTACCCAGTGGATGTGGGAGGACCACGTTGGAAATTAAGAGAGAGGGTATCATGTTCAAACAGAGAGATGTTTTATGCAGAAGCTGCCGTCACCGCTGAACGGATGAAGTAATTTCATTTTCATGCATGATCTGCAGCCCCACAGACCAGGAAAATTGCACAGGAGGGGAAGAAAAAGATAGAGGGGAAAAAAGAGTCAAGCCTGTTCTTTTTCCTTTTTCTCCATTTGACTTGTGATTATTCCCCCTGACTTGTAACCATAGTGATGGTTCAGTCCCACAAAAAAAAAAAAAAAAAAAAAGAGTCATTGCAGTGTTGTGCCCAGAACCTCAGGGCAAGATAACAGATTAACAGATGTATGAGGATATTTGCTACCTAAAGATGGTCCAGGATGCACATTTAGTTAGTGACAACTAGCTGAAACTGTTGTTAATTAATCTGCAGCTATTATGATAATCAAATTTCTATTATTTTGCTCAGACAGCTTTTCAAATGTGTGGCTCTGATTTCTTTGTCATACAGTATAGTAGTAAACTGAATATCTTTGGGTCTTGGTCTGATAAATCAATCTGAATACAGGGTGTCCTCATTTGGCTTTGGGAAATTATCATTTTGGGGGGAAACTTCATATACAGAACAATTAATTGTGAAAATAATCTCAGAATCAGGTTTATTGGCCAGGTGTGTCAGACACACGGAGAATTTGACTCTGGTACATCGGCTCTCAATGTGCATGTACATATATCCACATGCAAGGGGCAAGTAAACAGTAAAACAACATAAGGCTGTGTAATATAACAAAATAAACAGTATTAACAAGCAACAAACTGTGCTAACAATGCAAAATAGGCAGTATAAACAGGTAGTAAACAATGCAGACAATCAGTAGATTTATTGATACTGCAAATAATTGTTAGTTGCGGCCCTATTGACAAGACACAATTGACTGTTTAAGCCACTTAACAAAAGCTCTAAAATACTGAGTTTAGTGAGTCATTAACTGCTGTAATGTAAAAATGATTCCAGTAAATCAATACAGTTAACAAAACACAGCCAATCAAGTTACAGCTATAGCTTATATAACTACAAGGGGTTACTAGATATTTCACTGTGGTCATGAGAGGATTTCTGTAGTTGGAAATAAGGAAAAAACTAATTTGGCTTCTCAAAATCATGTTTATTTGTCAGACTTCACATTTGAACTGTTTTCTTATTAAATAAGGTGCAGTTTTAACACTCAGCTCCCCTAAAAATATTCACATTAAACAATCTGAGCAGGGAGCATCACTCCTGAATGACTCCTCAGCTGAACGGCTCAGCACTCATCGACCAAGCAGCCGTATTACTGTGTTTTTCCTGGAGCACCTCGTGTTCATAATGATGAAAGTGTGCATTATGATTGGATGCAGGAAAAACACTGACCCAGTCTGGATCTCAGCCTTAGATCATGTCATCAAGTATTATTTCCCAAATATATAGTGAGCAAGATCCCATGGGATTACTGACTATTAGTGTACTATAAATAATAATAATTTGTCTTGATGTCTTGTTTTTATTGGACTGTGAGTCTCTAGCATTTTTGTAGATGATAAAAATAGCACCATTCAAATGAGTTTGACTACATTTAAGTGATCATTTAACTCAAGGGGTGGATTATAATTTCTCTGATCACTGTCCTCAGATGAACAAGTCTTTATACTAATTCTTTCTAATTTAACACTAACATTTGAAACAGGGGAAACCACCTGGTTCTGTTTCCAGCATTTATGCTAAGCTAAGCTAACCAGCTGCTGGCAGTTGCATTGTGCTTACCGTGCAGTCATGAGAGCCTCTTCTCATCTAACTTCCTTTTTCAGTAAATACACCATATGTCAAACTATTTGTTTAAATAAATATATAAATACTATCTTAATAACAATTTATCCAGGTAAATTATAATTTTCAGCAGTGAGAGCCTTTGTCCACTTAGTAATGGTAACACTTAGACCCACAGACCCACCATTTTCATTATGTTATGTTAATGTGGTGGCATTGTATATTGACACAGTAGTATCCTTAGTACCCATTGAAAAATCATTGCCGCTGGAAAAAAAATGTTACAATAACATCTCCTTTTGTTTTCTCAAAGTCAGCAAGGTGCTGAGCAACAGTATTGATATTTTTATTGCTGTGGCATTCAAACTGAAATCTCAAAGTCAAATATATCATTCTTTAAATGTCACTTTTTAAATTGCGTGAAATAACAGCCAAGGTATTAAAGGTGGAGCGGGCACATTGAGATGTTAAGCTCCAGTCATACGGAGCAGAAAATAACAGATTGGTTGCACAATCAGTTTTATATCATCCTGGCAGGTAGCCGTCAGAAATACTTTCATACTGTGGCTGGCAGTAAGGTCCTTTTACACTTGTTCAAGGGCTGCAGAGAAGCTGCCATGCAGGTCAAGAAAACCAAAAGCTTCACAGGTCAGGCAAAATCCTCTGACAGCGGGCCTGTTTCCTTCACTCTACATTGTTCAATTTTCTTTTTGCACCTTCAGGTTGTGGGTTCACAGTGTTAGAAAAGAAAAGCATGCAGTGGAAATGTTATCATCAACCTATCAATGTACTCTCAGTCCTATCAGACTTTTGCTTCTATTTCACAGTGTGGTTTTTTTCAACAATTTATGGCACTTACTGCCTTCTGAACATGTTGTGCTTTTTGTCGTAAGTGCAGGAGAGCCTGAGAAGCCAGGACTAAAAATCAGATCTTCTTCTCTGTTCAGCTTGTTTTTCTGTGTCCTCAGATCCGCTCTGATCAGGACAAGGAGGTTGGCATCCGCTACAGCATCACAGGAGCAGGCGCTGATCAGCCCCCGAGTGGCATCTACAACATAGATCCCATCAGTGGCAACATGTTCGTCACCCAGCCCCTGGACAGAGAAGAGAGAGCCTCCTTCCACGTAACAAAGAAATTAGTTTCTTGTCTGTTTCTGTTTCCCCTCTACCTCCATTTACGTCTGTCTCATTAACTTCATTATCCCCGGGGAAATGTGCCCTTCTCCATCTGCCTTTCATGCAAACAGTGATGTTACCTGCCAAAACAAAACCACAAGTCAGAGTATACTGATAGGACTTGCAGCTCTGTCAGCTGCTGTACCTTCACACCAGCCCCTCCAGGCTCTAATTGATGCCAAACCCAACGATGAAATGAAGAATGCCTTGACAAAACACACAGCCACTTCCGTCTTATCTGTTGTCTATTGTTCTTATCTTCTGAGCTAATGAGCAGGTGCAGCTTAGAATGTGTGTGTGTGTGTATATGTTTGTGTCTGCAGCAGCGTATGTGTGTGCATGTACTGAGTGCTGGTAGATATATGATGTGTTTATGCCAGGCAGTGTCAGGGCTGTCTTTCTTTTTGCCACTTTTCCTTTGTGTACTGTTGCCCCATTGTACTTCGCCACACCCACACATCGTTGCACACTCACCTCGTGCACTCTGCAGCTGTGCTGTTCAAAGCTGCAGGCTGACAGCTGTACAGTTAGCCTGCATATGGCCCATCACATTCCCCACCACACACACAAGAAGCTGGAGGATTGAGTTCATGACTGGCCCCCCTGGAATCTCAGGTTAAACAGCTTTGTGGATGCGTGAATTAAATATGCACACCACATGAGTCTTGGGTTAACACCTGGCCATTGGTTCGTGTACACACATTACAGGTTTCAGTTTGTATCAGCAAAGACTAACACCTCCACTCGAGGTGAGCGCTGGTGTCAGACTCCCAACACCCGTGTGCCTGTCAGCATGATAGATGGCTGTGCTGCTGATAGAGCTAATTCAGAAGCATGCTCCTGTCTCCGAGGAGGGATAGAGTAAAGCAGTGCGGATGTCTTTAGCGCCTCTGTCAGCACACACAATCAGCAGTGTGCACACAGAATTAACACCAATACACACACACAGTACATGCTATGCTTAAAACAAACACAAAGCACTAGATGATTGTCTTCTTGAGTGGTTTGTCTTGTCACATACTTCTCTTTGTGTGTGTTTTGTTTAGCTTTAGATGAGCCTTGTTACCTTAGTGGCTACCGTCAGTTTCTGGACACCGTTGCCTGTGTTTGTTGTCTCAGCATACCTGTTATTACTCTCAACCAGCAAATTGGGATCAAAAAAACGGCCAGGTTATTGGTCCCTGGGAAAGGACAGCCACTCAGTAAACAGTTGTTTTTGACACTGCCTATAGTGAAAACAGCATGTTAGGTTGAGGGCACTTCAAGATGAATGCTACTCCTGTTTAGGCTCCCACAGAGCCGTGCAGCTTGTGATGTGATGTATGATTTAGTGTAGGAGATCAGCATTTAACCCAGGGGAAATTTAGTCTATTGCTTGTTTTCTTTCACCTTGGTGACAGGAGGTTACCAGTGCTGCAGTGCTCTCAAAGGCCAAACTTTGCTTGTTAGTTTTGGGTTCAAGTGAAAAGAGAAACAAAGCTGGTGTTTTTGACAGACTAGCACCAGGGGGAAGTGATCTTCGAGGTGAGAAGGGTGGCTAATAGCCTGAGCCTCAGTTTTGTCAGACAGAGCTACTAGGAGACAGCAGGGCATGAGGAGAATTGAACTAATGAGAATGTTATTTGTTTTATATTTGTTTGCATCACTGTATGTACAGTGTACAGTGAGTGTTTGTATGTGTGCTTTTGTGTTCAATTAGCCACAAGTGAACAAATGTAAAATGTGGAAATACAGGAAACTGATGATAATGATTACTTGAGATACTAATAAGTGAAAATTTTGACCTGCTGAATGTTCTAGATTTAAAATCAGAGTACCATTAAAGCGATTAGAATCTTTCTGCCTTGAATATCTTTATCAAATTTTGTGGAAATCCATGATTGACTGATATACCAAAAGTGCCACCCTCAGCATGGCTAGAAAATCACTACTGTTGCAGCAGCGTGTCCAGTCAACTTTTACATTTAATTACCCTGCAAATCCTTGATGAAAGAAGCTTTTTGAACAGCAGTTTGTTTGGCAAATGTCTATAGTTATACATACTGTACAGTAGATAGGTAAATAGCGTCAGTTGCAACAGCTACAATATTTCAACAGAGAAAGAGAAAAGCGCCACATGCAGAGTTCAGCACCAAATTGTCAAGGGTCCTCTGAAGTACAGTATGGATATATAAACAGATCAATAGGCTCAATACAACTATATTTCTCCTCTGTGGTGGTTCGGTGACGCTAATGCTCACCCTGCACAATGCTGATGTCAGTTCACACACATACATTTGCAGTCAGTACAGCACACACACTCCTCCAGGCCGTCAGATCACATTTTCTAATCCTCCAATGAGCACACAACAGCAGACGCACACATACAAAATCTAGTGTACGCACACACACACAGTATAGAGACATATACAGATACCGTATAGAAATATGAGAAAATATGCAGAAATGTAGAGTACATACACAATGATAGAAAGGAAAAACATACACTCAAACATATGCACACAGTATATCACTAAAACAAAATGCACACACACACAGGCTCATGCACTGAAGTGGTCACACATATCACAGTCACACATCCCCCAGCGTGCAGTGTTCACAGCTGAGAAAACAGATTGGGCTTGTTTGTTTGTTGGTTCTCCTCTCCATGTTTGTTTGCTGTGCTTCAGCCAATTGAAAACTAGCATCTTGAGGATCATTAAGCGGCTAAAAAGGGCTCTTTTGATTGGCTGTGTGTTTCCCCCAAAGCGTGTATTCGTGCGCTTGTGTCAGTGTCCATGTTAATATGCGTAAACATGTGAATCGATGTTTTGGATGTATGTGTGAATTCTCGAGCGTCTGTGTGTTTTTGTATGTTTTGCTTCGTCCTTGACAGGCAGACCTAAGCCAGCATGATTAGTTGTGTTGCAGTGAAGGAGGGTGATTCAGTCTTTCACGTCACACCCCACAATACATCACAACTTCCTGCAAATAGGCTGGCAGGCAGATCGGCTGTGTTGTGGCAGACAAAATTTTTTGCTGCCAGTGTCACAGTTTTAGCTAGAATGAGAGCCCTTCCCCTTTTACCGAGCTAAGCTGTGAATGAATAACATTTCTGTGGAGGACCTGAATGTCCAAGCAATTGAGTGAGAGTAAGTCATGGTGAACAGTGCCGGTCTGCTATTGCAAAGCTTTGCGTTATGTTAGATATCATTAGTGTGAATTGGTTGGGAGTAGAGGGTGTGTAACAGCAGCAGTGGAGATAAAGACGTCCCACTGTAGATGATGATTGCATTTGTCAGTCCTCCCTGTCCCACACTGCCCCTTTGTGTTTTCATCTCTCATTTACTTGCACAAGGCTCAGTCGCTGTTCTCCTCTCCTTCCCCTCTTGTTCATCTTTTCCCTACTCTGTTTTTCTTTTTGTCCTTCCTTTCTGCTCTCCCTACTCTCACACTGTGAATTGTCAAGGAACAGCTCATCAATCTGTGGCAGCCACCCAAATGGGCGGCTTTGTCAAAACAAATCGAGACAAAACATTTTCCCCAAACACAAAGAAGCCACAGCTTGATAAGCAACACCTCTCTGATATTTTTCAGGCCTCCTCCTGTGCTAACTACAAAATAGGTGTTGTCTGGAACATTTCACTACTTTGCCGCTTTCTGTGTTGCTATGGTCCATGCCAGGATGCCAAGAGGATACTCATGGCTCGTTGGCAGACAAGAAGCAGAATATTTGCCAGTTGAATGAAGTTGCCAGTTAACGTCACAGTTGTGCCATGTGCTGACTTTGTTCCAGTTCAAACAGGGCTGCAGAGTTTCATATCAGTCAATCCTTTTGTCATGTGAGCTACATTTAGAATATTTATTTAGGCTAATATTCAGCACTGACTGTTAATGATCCCTTCTGTCTTTGTGTGCATACTGACAGCTGCGAGCCCATGCTGTGGACATGAATGGGAACCAAGTGGAGAATCCGATCGATCTGTACATCTATGTGATTGACATGAATGACAACAGACCTGAGTTTCAGAACCAGGTGTATAATGGCTCTGTGGCTGAAGGATCCAAACCAGGTAAGAGTTATTTCTCTTCATCGTGGACTGTAAGGTCTGCTTCACCTCACCAAGCAGGGATGAAACTTTGAAGAGAAATAAGTGTTAAGTTTAAAATGATTTTCATACTGTAGAGCAGAGGTACTGCTTGAGGTGAGAGGGACAGGTGAATGTGTAATAAAAACAACACAAAGTTAGTCATTGTAGTTTAGCTGACGAGGCCCACATAGCCAACAGTTGAAGCAGCAGCTGTGGCTGAGACCCACAGCTGCTGGAGGCAGTTAAGGTATATTAAGCTACATCTTCTCAGAGTCCTATCAGATGAAACATATATTTTCAGATTTACTGTGACTTGTGCTTTTCAGGGATATCATTATCTTCACTGGTCATTCTGTATAAACATCCATGCATCAACTTAGAAAACATATAAAGAATTCATGGGAACACTGCAGACAAGAACTGCTAAAAGCTCATTCAATATCTTCTAACAGTATCACTTTGTCACACAGATACAGACTAAATATGGTGCTGAAGTTGTTTTCCTTTGAATGTTTTTAGAGGTTTGAAATAATGAAATATATATAAAAAAATAGTTTACAGAAATCCTGTGGCAGAAAATCCACTACCTTTTTAGTCATTCTGTGACCTCTCAGATTTATGTAGTGTATATAAGCAGCTACATTTGCAATCAATTAAAATATTTAATTGAAAATTGCAAATTTTTTAAAGATCTATTCTAAACAGTGGTGGAAAGTAACTAAGTACATTTAGTCAAGTACTGTACTTAAAGAGCCCGTTCATGCTTTTCTGTGTTTTCTGACTTATCTACAATGTTACAACAATGAATTATCATCTTAAACAAGACTGAAAGCTCAAAAAGCGAGGTGTACCTATGTTGTTGTACTTCTATGCAGATGCAACTCAGTTTGCATAAGTCTCACGAACTCTCACTGGCGAGACTTTTTTCCAACTATGTAATGTCTTACGCAATAGTGAGCTTGCGTGCTGCTGGAAACCTCCAGTCAGCTGGCCAGTGAAGAAGCCTGGGGTGGTAAATGATCAGCTGATCAATACTGGACTCCCTCGTAGCACAGTACCTGTTTGTTTTGACTGCCGCATGTGATGTGTTGCTGGTTGGAGAGAGGATTCAAACAATCCATGATGTTATTGTTGGTGCGACGCTACCTGTTGGAATTAAATTCACTACTTTGGCAATGTGGTCACTTTTAACTTTAGGGATTTGTGGGGGAAGACGCAGCAATCACTGTTTGGATTTACCAACCTCAAAGTTTCCACTGCTCAGTGGGATGTAACGGTAAGTTTAAAAAAAACCCACACGTTGCATGTCTTTTAATTGCTTCTGTAATGTTAAAGAGAACATTTTGTAAGGCTGGAGAAGTTACTATGTCTGCAATGTGCCAGATAAAATATGGGGGTTTCTCAACTACCTGCTTTATTTAGAGTGTTACAGATTTCTTTTCTTAAGTACATAGACCATTAACAGACATGCAACGTGTGGTTTCTTTTTTTTTACGTACAGTTAAGTCCCACTGAGTAGTGGAAACATCACTCCCTTTCAAATAGCTCCAAGGTCAATTAATCCAACCGGTGGTCACAGCATCTTCCCCCACACGACCATATACAGCCCCAAAGTAGGAAAATTAATTCCAGCAGGTAGTGTAGCACCGACAATATCACTGATAACATCAAGCAGTCAATATATCTACAAAACAGACTGCAGTTGAAAAATTCCACTTTTACCACAGCACCAGTGGATGTCAGGCAAGCTCACATGAATGAATGTGCAACTGCCTGGAGATCATGACCATTCAAGGAAATCCTTAAACTATCACATAATATTTTATTTTATTTTATTAGAAAAAAATTCTCATCAGCAAGAGTTCATGAAACTTGTATAAACCAAGTTGCTTCTGCACAGAAGTACTACAGCATACATACACCAAATTGTTTTAGCTATATGTTTTAGCTTTTAGCTAAGATGATAACTCACCATTGTAACATTTTAGACAAGTCAAAAAAACAAGGGGAAGCATGCCATGGGCTCTTTAAGTATGTTTTGATGTTAATACCTTTGCACTTTTACATTAAGTAACAGGACTTTTACTTTTAACAGAGTATTTTTACACTATTATATTGCTACTTTTACTCAGTTAAAGAATCTGAGTAGTTCTTCTACCAGTGGTTCTAAATGTACCTTACAGGGACCCTGAGGTAATTGTGATTAGTGAGAGAAGTCCAGTAGTCTCTAATAAGCAGAACTGTGTTTATCTGTCCCAATGCCTCCTCCACTTAAGCTTCCTCATCTTCATACGAGTTGTGCATCTTAATTACAGTGGTGGCTCATGAAGACAGACCCTGGTCCTCCACAATGTTAATCAGCCCGCATGCTGTAGCCACCCATTTAGCTATCGCTGTTGAAAGTTGCTTGTACAGTTGTCCAGGCATCTCCATTGGTTTGCCTTTCCTGAGGGGGAGGAGGGCTCTCTGCATCTGCTGTGTGTTTGGCCAGCAAGTAGTATTTGAGACTTGATGTAGTCCAGTGGTAGCTCAATTCACATTGACAGTAAATGCAAATAACTTTGCATTTACTGTCATGTCGAGAGAACCATCTGGCAGGGCAGGACAGAAAGTGCGTTCATTAATCCCGTGTCAAAAAATAGTGGTATTAAAAGGAACTTGCGTTAACTTATTATCACGTTAACTTTGACAGCCCTAGTATAAACATAATATCTAGGAGACAAAGCTAAGTAGTGTAATAGTTTAAATGAATGCACAGAAGATTGTGACTTATACTGGCACTTGTGTCACTTCTTTACTGTGCTCTGTGGAAAATGATTTATGATGATTCATGAATAGCTAATAGGTTTTATTGAATTAATTTAAAATACTAAGATTTAAAATTAGTTATGCACAGCCTCTAGATTTAAAATGCTTAAGGATCCTGTTTATGTCCTTAATGGTTTTGTTCTGTGTGGATCACGCTACCTGAATGTGAAAGCATTTGTTGTCAGTTTAACCAATCAAATGCATTTTTTCCTACATAAAATCTCTATTTTTTCAGTCTTACAGTAGCTTTGAATAAACTTGGACTTGACAATGAACCAACATTTTGCAGTGCGAATTTGCCATAACTAAGTTTCCACTTCAGACAAAGGCAAGCTCATGAGATATTTGTGTTATATACTGTATCTTGACTGGGTGCATCATTATCAGATTCTGTGGAGCATGGAGAGGTGTAGACCTTCTCTCCGAGTCAGGGAACAGAGTCGTGGTCAGTGCAGAGCCAGAGACGAGAGCAGAATGCACAAGTAGCTCTCTTATCTCAACTGGAAGAGCTCTTGTTCTAACAGTCAGATCCCGAGGACCCATGTCTGTCTTCACAGTGCTTGGATATTGTTGTGCTGCAAAGTTGAATCTCAGAGGGATTTTTAAACAGTACAGGAAAGCATGTTCTGTGTGTGTGAGTGAGTATGGATTGACTGTGTGTAGGTGTGTGTGTATGTGAGTGTGTGCTTGTGAGTATGGTTACTCCTCAGTGGAGCATGGGTCTATATACAGAGCTCCTAATTAGCGAGGGCAACCAGACATTCCAAAGCTACTTTCTATGTTTTTCACTCTGATACTTTCAGCTTAGTTCAAAATGAAAGCATGCAGTGGTAACAGTCTTTGAATTAAATGTGGTTTTGAACAGAAAGCAATCTTTGGTACCAATTAACAAGAAACATATTACACTATGTACAGTATAATTACTCAGCTCTTCATTAAGCAATCACTGCTAAGCAACATTTATTTGTGGAGCACACGGTGTGAGGTTTTGAGTTTGGTGTCAAAAAATTATATTGTGTGTGTGGAGTTAAGTCACTGGTCTCTGAATTGATGATTTTTAATTAGGAAAATAGGCTGCAAAGCTGTGTTGGCCTAATTGCCTGTTTAGTCAAAGAAAACAAGGAATGCGATTCATCTTCAGTGGAGGATCAGTGAGACATTTTATACTTTTCTGCCCCATTTAAGCCTTTAATATATCCTCTGCCAGTTAAATCTTTTGCCCACTATTAATAGACCTAGTTTAGACCTCAATTTAGTAAGTGCTACACACTTTTGCTGAAGTTGTTTTTTATACAGGATACACAGCCAGCTGTAACATCAGTTCTGTCAATAATGTCTTTGACTGAACTCTTTTGTATGCATCTTAGCAGAAATTGCGATTCACTGAACCATAAACCTACAGTAAGGCAACAACCAGAAGCACCAATACCTTTGCTGCTCTTCTATTTTTGACACTATATTTTGACTCTGTGTGGCTCTTCTTCTAGCTTCTTAGAATATTATACTATAAATGTGTTTATTAAAGGTGCAGTGTGTGAGATTTAGTGACATCTAGCACTGACGTTGCAGATTGCAACACTCAGCCAAGCTGTCAAACATTGTGTTAAACAGCCAAGTCACAGTGATTATCATAAACGTAGGACAAAATGCAGCTGACTTGACCAAGCAAAAGCTAATGGCGGCTCACTTGACCGCAGTGGGTTACTCAGCACTGGCCATGTTCTAGCTAAAGGTATCACATAAAAACTTACATTTAGGTAAACTTTACTTGATAGGGCTACATTACCTGTCCAGTGGAAAACAGAAATCATTAGCATCATTCTGGAGACATTTATCACTCAACAAGGAAATCTTTTGATGACACTTATCCAGTTTCATCCTGTCTTTGCTTCTTTGATGACGGGGATGCGCATTGCCTTCCTTTTGTGTTAAAGTATAACTATGATCATCCCTTTTTCAAATTATAGTTCTTAAACTCATAATAGTGCTTCCTGTTATTTATAACATTATTTCTTTTTTGTCTTCCAAGCGTCTCCAAATCCAAGCTGCTGTTTCAACATGAAAGGGCAAAATTCGCTCTCGAGAGCCAGTGTGTGGTTTGTCCATTCTGGGCTACTGTATAAAATACCACGGCCTCCATTATAGGGGACACGCGCCTATGTAGATATAAAAGG